ATTGACAAAGTACAGCTTAAAATTTCAGAAACGTGTAGAAGGGACAGCTTTTGGAATCAGCGCTTCACCTCCAACGAAAAAAGTAACATTACTTTGATTTTTCACTTTTTTAAGATTATTTATCGACCGTAATGACCAAAGTACAGGGTTAATTATTGGCTGATGGGAAAGAATTTCCGTTACATACTAGTCTATGGGAAACCCATTCGATATAATGGAGATGACGACGTGCAGGTGGATTATAAGTTTATCGAGTATGGACGAGAATGCAACTCATAGTAGCTTGTAGAATTGAAATCCACGCCGATGGATTTTTGTCTAAAGGAGATCGAGGGTATTGCTGCTGCGAAAGTTCTTTGTCAACACCTTCTTTCTCGCCTAGTAGTTTTACGCAAAATTCGGAAGATTTTTGTTCTTTCTTAGATAACAGCGTACAAATACACTTTTTTGCTTCTGCTGTATTCAATGGACAATGTTCCCAGCTAAGGATATTGCATCACGCGTTGTTCCAACTAAGATATTCTCTATCCCTCACACTTTACAGAAAACAACGCTTAGGACGAGCTTGTTAATAGTAGGTTTAGGTGAAGCAGAACAAAAGGTTTTTTTGCAGAGAAGAAAAGGACAAACCAAATTGTCTCTGGTGTACCTGTACGTCGGAATTCCGGACCTGGTCTATGCGCTCCATTGATGGGTTCCCTTGCATAGTTTCTTTGGCTTGATTAGAGGCCGCACACAACGCAAATGTTTCGAATAGAATCGACACGTCTTGCAATGTACACTTTTACACGCAACCTTCATTTTTTATGGTCACCTTTGAAACGACCTTAGCGGAGAAATCTGGCAAGTTTTCCAAAATACACAGCGTCGCACTGATTAAAAGGTAACTCATGCCCAATCGAATCTTTAATGCTGTCATCGCGATCTTCTGCACATTATCACTACAGATCTTCTAAGCGTCCACAAAACACATCTGGATGAGAGGAGGGTCTCGCGATGTGCTAAGGAAGTAACAATTAATTTTGTTTCTTGCTGAGCACCACCACACTCCGATTCTGTCAGGTCAACAAGTGTTCTCCTTTTGGTTTCTTGTGAGCGAGCTGCTTGGAAAATACTCCTCCATCTTCCGTACATGCGCCAGTCAAAAGGTCTCTTCCAGGAATAGGCTTTCAGTATTTCCTATAGCGATTTTCATTTAACCTTGAGAAGGACAATGTGTTTTAGCTGACTCATAGGGTTACACGAAGACATTACAAGTCATTATTGTGATTGACGTTTTGGCAACGTCGTCTTTTTTAAAGCTACGATGATTCGAGTACCTTGTGATCAGGCCATCTTGGTCGAAGTTGAATCGAGTTCAGTGAAGTACAAGGTGAATTAAAATGTTCGCAAATTCTCTTCCAGTTTCTGCTTTGTCTCATCCATCGCAATTACAATGTCTACTTTTTGTTTACTGCCTATTCCTTTTCATTGTACGGTGCTATGTGAAATGCAACCATAGGGATGTTGAAATATGACCAAAACTCGGAACCTCAGGCGAGCTTTGAACCCGATTACCCTTTACCGTGACGCACTTTTTACTCACCACACCTAACCGAGGCTCTTACTTTGCCTCTGCTTTCAAATCATTCCCGTTGACGGGTGATGCCCTTGATAGAGTAAAAATGTGGCTCAGAGGAAGGTAACACAAAGATTGATATGGTGGATAACGCGTAAACCCCCGGAAACGATAACAAAGGGTTCGCAGCACAGTTGAGGTACCGAGTTTTGCTCATATCTCAGCAAACCTGTGGCTCTTTTGCACGCAGTATAATGATGTGAAAAGAAAAAGTAGTCTGTAAATGATAAGTTGGATATTGTGATTGATTTGGACTGTGGGTCCATCTTAACTAGGTCCATTGGAGATGGGTGTTATCCAGATCATCCCCGTTGACCAATTATTGTTGATAGCACCGGTAGAGGAAAAACATGTCTGAGAAAAAATCAAAGCAAAGGACTAGGTTGATGTGTTAGATAGCAGAAGAGCCCTCGATAAGGGTAACCGTGGGCTCGATGTCCCTCTGATGATGAGAGTTTTGCTCATATCTCAGTGTCCCTATGGTTGCACACTACAATCGCATTGTTATCAAAATACAGATGTGCTCATAGCTTCTCAAATGTGTTCAGTTCCATTGCTTCAAAACCAAAGAATAGGATCCAAAAAAGGAGTTCAACAGCCCCTTAATCGTGGTAACCTAAAAATTTCTGTCAGACGGGAGAATTTAATGGATCTTTTTATCTTTAACTACTTTTTAATTTCTTCAATTCTTTCGAAAGGTGTGGGTTTCTATAACTTGTAATTCTGTTTTCGGAATCTCCTTTTCTCCTGAGTCATACTCAAACATCAACCATAAATACTTCACAAAATTATTTACGTTCTGTGATTCCAAGCAGAAGCAGTTAATCCGTTTCAGATTCGGTGTGATCCAATAATAGTATAATAGATCATTGAGCACCACATTGTTCGACCGCTCACCGCCGACCCTATCGTCATCACATTGATCCTCACCCTCCGACACCGAAGATTTTCCCTTTTCCTCAGCTCCTCATCTTCTTAACTGTCACTATCAGTGAGCAGTTGATCGAAGATTAAGTCCAATTTTTCTTCCGTCGAGATGATTCAAGCATAAATATGGGCAAGGTAACATTTCTAATCGAACAGCTCGAGTGCGATTTATTGCATTTTAACACAGACAAGCCACGTTGCCTGTATGTTTGCTCTATAAAGGAGAGTTAATCGCAAAAAGGTCTCAGGAAAAATCTTCACCTTATTGGGGTTTCTCGGAGTTCTACAACAGAAAAACTAGCAGGAAGACTCTTCCAAAAGCAGTATACTGTGTGCGCTTGCTTTGAGTTGAGTATTGTCCTCACGCCTGAAGGCCGACTTAACTTGATTTTCACGCGATTCGTCTTATGTTCACTGAACAGCATATAGAATACAGAGAACCATACCATTCGTAAAGCTATTCTGTGTAGTTAATAATAAACAAAACTGATTATCGGATGGGTGAGTTCATCAACCTAAATATAGTGCTACTGGTGAAGTGGAAAGAGAGGCAGTGAGGATATTACAGATGAGGAGAGAGGTAAAACAGTTTTGCGTTTCGCTACGATTCATTGACTTTTAGATGGACAATATTAAAAAGACAATTCTTGATGAGTATGGTGCACATAATTCATATGTGTCGGCACGTCTGCCGTAGTGAGTCGACTTCAATTCATCGCGCTCAAAGCGAAAAAGTGGGCATTAATTAGAACTAGGTGTCATAAAACATTAGGCATTGAGGTCCAAATGCTAGATGAAAGGACCATACTCGACACGTGCTGCGCTGACATCAGAAGCGCGAAACACTGAAATTCAAACCAAAGGATCGAACTGTTCAGGCGACTCCTCCAGAATGCAATAGCGCGTGGCATCATGCAAGCTCCTACGACAGGACAATTAGCAGTAGCGGTGAGTAGATTTAACAACTTTTGAACTCATGAAATATTGCAAAACTAAGTTTTTTCGGGGAATTGTTATCATGATTTAAAAACAATTTATCTCTCACTGTATACTAAAACTTCCGTCATGGAACATTTCTAAAATGCTACCTATATTAGCTGAATCGTTCAAGCTACTGTATGTCGGAATTTCCATTCCGATTTCCAGCTAATAGTAAAACTGTAGCTATGGTAGGTACTGGCGTTGTTCATGGCTACGTTTTCGAGAAAGACAGTGGAAATTAAGGGCATTATATCAACATCGTGGAACTCTTGACGTTCCTCAATTGGCGGACCGAAGCCCACTGAGTAGTTGTGTTAAAGGGACAGCCACTATTGGAAATTCAATCTAACTACTCATTTGGTGATCGGCAGGATTACGAATTTTGACGTGTTTTGTAATCATTATTATATTGCTACCTATTATTTCTTGTCTCACTACTTATTCTAAATTCTGATCAAATTGTATCCACTTATTAACTACCTACTCGGATACTTGGATGCCTGTTTTCACTGGTTGTGTGGACACCGGCATAATTTCCGTTTTTTCGGAATTCTAGTCGTTTAGCCACTTTTGTTTCTTGGAGTCCCGAGTTCAGCTTAGCCAAAGTCTTTCCCAGATCGTTACCACCACAGGCAGTCGCCGTGGATTAGAGGGAGATTTGACACCACGCGCGTAGTCTGACACCAGGTTGGTGGTTGATTATGCTTTGCAGTTAGCTGGGCTTCGTATTAGAAACGCCAGATCACTTCTCGGCTTCGGAGACCCTGCTGGGACGTTGAATCCTTTCGTTGTAAAACGCAGCCCGACACCCAGGAATAGCTCCCAGCCACGGTGAGGAATTAGACCGTTGGGTTGCATTTCTTAACTACGGGATACCGTTTATTATTTCATATGAGATTACAGTTTATTATTTTATTTCTATGATGCCTAATTGTGCCCTTTACCTTCCCATCAATTATTTTCCCACCTTTAGTCTTCTTTGTGTCTCTTTGAAACTTCATTCTGCCTAATCTTCATCTTTTCAGGCTCGCTATACAGCAGTACATTGGAGAAGTCTGAGTTTTTATTTTAATTTATGACATTTATGACATATAAATATTACATCTGGGCAGTTTTTAAAAAACTGGCATTTTCTAGGAAGCCAAAAAATCTCTTTGTCAAATGACTTTTTTAACTGAAAGCGTAAGGATAATGAGCAATCCATGAAATCTTTACTCCTTGTGTTCGTATCACTCTTTTTTAGTATAGCTTCTTCAAAATAATTCAAGGTTTTAGTAGTTCCAGCTGACGGCACATTTGAATTAATCAAGCCCACTTTTAGGCCATACCGTCAGTTTATCACTCCTGAGATGACAGTTTGCTCTCCACTAATTTCAACAAGAGTATGTTGCATTCACAAAAGAAGTACACTACCATTCTTAGTGCAGTAATGATAATATTAATAACGTAACAATAGTTGTTAAGATATCCAGTAATGAGTTGGCAATCGGCCGTAGGTCCTGTGCTGTCCATTCAGAGTCGACAGCAGTTGTCTCAAACTGGCGATGACGACTGCACAAGAGAAGGAATTGCGTCACTTCGCTACGTTTCATCGTCTGAATCGGTATTTTAATCCATTTCGCAGGTTAAATGATGGGTTGTTCTCATGGTATTCTATTCATGAGCATTCACTACACCCTTTTTTTTCGCGATCTTAAGCTACCAGATGATGATAACTTAATATGATACTTTAGATAGTTCATATATAGCTTCAAATACAAGAAGCATTCTAATCTTGATCCGGGGTTGGGATCGAAGCAGAGATTTGTGTGCATTATACGGGCTTTCTCACAGTGCGCTACAGATTCCCTACTCCTCTGGACGTTACCATGAGAATTCTCGCTTGTTTAGACGTTGTTCTAGTTAAAGATTAGCACGATGTTACCAAGGCTGGAAGGGATTGCCTATCCTAACCCATTCGTTGTGCAATCAACATCATGATATTTATGAACCCTTACCACCATTCACATGGTTTCCTTGCAGCATGCATCAACTCAAATAGACGAATATGATGACAATATGATGTTATCCTCAGAAGGTGATGAAACAAAGGATGGTCGAGTAGAAGTTACTTATGGGGGTGATGACGTGCAGGTATAGCTACTAACTTTAATCCCTGCAAACAGTTGATTAACATTCACGCTGATTCAGGTGACTGTCTCCTTTTTGGCGTCTTTTAATGGGGAAAGTCTTCAATTGGCAAAGTACTGAAATGAACTCAGCGCTGAACCTTTCAGTTTACAGTGATTCCATAGCAATGAATTCGTAATCTACTTCTTTCTCTTCTCTGACACGATATGAAGAAACCCACTACCACTTGCCAGTGATCCGTAACTTCCGCTTTGTAGGTTCAAACCACTTCGAATAAAATTTACGTGTTTTTTGGGTCATCTCTAGAAGAGTTTTTGAGCAGGAACATCAAGACGACATGAACTAAGTGATGAATTTGGGAGATAAACCTACGTCAGAATTCACACAATTGTGAAATAACCACAGTGGTGCTGAGATATTTGCAAAACTCCGGACCGCGGGTGTCAGCGGTGGGGAACGAACGCGCTATTACCCTTTCTAGGTGTAACGCGTTCACAACCACACCATGAGGGTCTTTCGTTTCGCCTGTCTCTCAGCTAGTTCCATCGATCACTGCCATCAGCAATCATTCGTCAACGGGATTGATCTGAGGAACTCGAATCGGCATTGAGCCCAGTTAAACTGAGGCTATAGTTGAAATTCACAATGTTGACTTTTTTATTTACTGCCTGCCGATGGCATGATCGATAAAACTAGCCGAGAGACAAGCGGAACTAAGAGCCCACTTGGTATGATGGTGAACGTGTTAGACTCTGGAAAGGGTAATAGCGCGTTCGTTCCCTACCGCAGACATGTGCGGCCCAGAGTTTTGCAATTATCTCAGCGTCATTGTGGTTGTTTCACAAATAATACCCTGCCATGAAAATTTGTAAAAGGCAGTAAGTAAAACAGACACACAACTGTGTCCATGCTCACCTAGAGTAATTCTTTCTTAACCTTGAACACCGAGTTCTGAAATTAAACTTAAAAAATGACTAATAACTTTCGTCATTAACCAGAGTTTCCACTAAAAAGTATTCTTTGTGAATATTTGAGCCAACTCTCAAGGTATTCCAGTATTGGAACCTAGTGGTGTTTGGAATCATCAGTCACCAGTTATGAGATAACCAGAACCACAAAGTGCAGGTGTTATAAAGCGATGTGTAGCATTTAGATTATCGCATGGCTTTTGCTCTGTTAGGGTGATTGAAGATAGCAGCTTGGGGTAGAAAACTGGTCGGTAGGAAAGCAAAGCAAGGCTCTCAGTGGTGCCGTGCGCAAAATATGATCTACTGGAAAAGGTAATCTCCGTTCGATCTGGCCAAGGGTCCAAGTTTTGCAAGTATTTCACATCATACCTTATCGTGAGAAATAATAATAAGCAGTAAATAAAAAGTTAACACTGTAGTATTACCGAATGGTCTGTACCTTGTTGTCTATTGCGAACTTTTTAAAAAAAACTATTTGTACAAAGACTTATAACTTTTGCCAAGAATACTGGTACATATTACGGATTGATTTGCATGGAATGATAACGACGAAAGCCGAAAATGATTTGCGGTCTGTTTGCAGGTAATATTGGTAGCCTTTGAAGGTAGGTTTACAGAGCTGGGTTCATCATTCATGGTAAGGTCAGTCTGGTTGAAAAGAACTTCGAAATGATTATCCGAAAGACTAGCTTAGAGTAACCCTTTAACATAGAACGCCCGCCATCCTAGAAGAAGCACAGGTGAAGACGGCAAGCCTCACCTTGGTTAATAAAAACATGGAAGCCTATATAATATCGAAATAAACACGGTAATAGCTGTAGGCACATAGGAATCTGCAGCTCCCATAGAAAAGAAGTGGTCTCTCATAATCCTAATTGTAATTGAAGAATCTGGTAGTAGTACCCTCATAATCGATTGCTCAGGTGCAAACGAATAGGTTCGACACAATTTCCATTTACTGCACTTTAAAAGAGTAGTGTAAAAGCTGTTTGATGTAAAATAACAGCGTATCTGCAACAATGAACTCAAAAACCGGAAGAGCATCTTTTTAAACTTGAGAAAAACTGAGGTAAATGTCTCAAGATGATTTTTTCAAAGTTCCTGAGTTGTTTGGGTAATTTAACGCGTTGTTCATTTAATTTAAAAAAACATGATGCTGAGACAAAGAAAAGATCAATGAACGGAAGATAAGCATCCTCCCTCACTTTTAAATTCCCAACCTACTATCTAAGAGCCTATGTAGCGTACTTTACGAAGCGGGTAAGGTCAATAAGGCTTTGCAAGTTAAACCTAGTCCAAAATCGACCTTGTGTTGTTCTGAAGCTCAGGCAGATTTCGCCTAGCAATTCGCCGTTTCTCCTATGTTGTATTGACATAAACGTAAGCACATTCATTAATGCGTCCGTAGATATCCTTACGTCCATGTGGATTGTTTCCTGTACTCTATCCAAGCAAAAAGCCTGAAACACTAGGAAACACATGGAAAATGGTAAGGAGGCGCCTTCAAGGAATAAGCTCTTCTGCACCTCAACTCCTACCCTAGACCTTCAATAGGCTACACTTGATGCGCGACTCATGAAACAAAACTGTTCTACTTGTAAGCTTATGTCACTGGATAAAGCTGGCTACGATGTATCAGGTGTTTGAGAAAGACTCGGATCTTCTGAAGCAACAGCCTTAAACAACTGAAAGTGCTTTTCGGCATTAGTCCAAATATGCTGCAGTTAACAAGTTTGGTCTAGCTGAAAAAATCTGATCTATTCGTGGTGGATGAGAATGCTCGCCTCTGACAATTCTCTCCCAATCATGGTGAGTAGACGTGCTATATTCAGCAAATGACGAACCGACCATATAAAACATGTCCCAATTGCAATGACATGCTCACGACGCTCGCCCATTACATCTGTCGACATCACAAGGGGTTGTCGCACCGCAGCACTTCCATAGCTACTAGGCCCCAAAGGTGGTACAGTTCATGAAACACATTCTGTCGAGTGGAACAGAGTTTATGGTAGTGTGACGTTATTCAAAACAAATATCTCTTCCGAGAGCCAATTTATGCTGCCTAAATCTAGAATGAATTACCATCTGTACTTACAATGCATGCACACTGGCACCTTGTCCTCTTCTAAGAAAGCGATGAGACAGGCTAAAGATAGCGAAATTACACACATTGGTCGGACTAGAAGACACAACTCATGAAACGCGGTTTGTGATACCACGAAGGAATTCTGGCGCTTTTCTGAATGATAGACCTGGTAGCTCTACATCGGAAGGTACTGTAGCAAAATGAACCATAGTAAATTAAAAGTTTTGCATCATTGATATCATGGTTGTTCAAGCTTTACACGTCACCGAAAGGAGATAAAGTTCGAGATTAAGCCATAGGATTCATGAGGCGAGATCGCAAAGCCATCGTGAAACGGGAGTTGTTCAAATCCTCATCCATCTTTTAAGAAACGACCGTTGTATAAGGAGCTAATGAAGGAATAAGAAAAACATATATGCTACCTCTAAGACAGCACTAAAATGTCTCACAAGGGAGATCTAGTCGCGTCAACTTAGAGTTGCACAAGGAATTGAAATGTGAAACTTTATCAGAACTTAATAGCACCGTAGAGGAGCGACAAAAGGACAACTTTAAGGAGATTGAGGACGGAAGAGCAGCAATCCACAGCGCTTAGGAACAGATAGGATCGACAATTAATACCGAAAACATGTTATTTAAACAGCATACATTTATTTCCATATAAAAACACAATACAATACAACAGTAGCTGACGTTTCGGCGGTATCGCCTTCTTCAGAGCCTGGAAGGGTATACTGATATACAATCTACTAGGCCAAACGCTTCAATAACACTTACAAAAAGACGAAAGACTCTTTGGTAGTTACATGATCAACAGCTTCTCGAAAAAGTCACCGTTTTTTCGTGACTTCCAATGAGGAAGTTTAGAACAGCTGATTATAGTCGCATATGGTTGATGACTGCACCACCCAATATCAGAAATTGATGCGAACATACGGGATCAGGTCGCGTATACTTCTGGGCATGAATAGCAGGGACGAATGCCCGGAGGTCATACGCGACCTGATCCCGTATGTTCGCATCGATTTTTGATGTGGGATGGTGCAATCGTCAACCACATGCGACTATAATCAGCTGTTCTAAACTTCCTCATTGGAAGTCACGAAAAAGCGGTGGGTTTTTCGAGAAGTTGTTGATTGTGTAATTACCGGAGAGTTCTTCGTCTTTTCGTAAGTGTTATTGAAGCGTTTGGCCTAGTAGGTTGTATATCAGTGTTCCCTTCCAGGCTCTGAAGAAGGCGATACTGCCGAAAGGCAGCTAGCGTTGTATTGTATTATGTTTTTCTATGGAAGTAAATGTATGCTGTTTAAAAACCTCGCGATTGCTGAACAAGAAAACGACTCATTCATATTCCAATGCCGAGGTTAATAGAAAGTCAATCCTGGAAACTAGGCAATATTATCTACAACTTTTACTACAATTTTTTCGACCACCATATCTACCTTCATTCATATCACAGATACTAGATACACAGACGGAGAGTTCTGCTAAGTCGCTCTAACGGTTCTCCTTTTCGAAGTATGAGTGACTCTTTCCCCCAACCACGTGCAGTAACACATAACTGTTGCAAGGATACTAAGCTGAAAATCTGAGGAANAATAGTCCTACTATAATCAGTCCTACTATTATAGTCCTACTATAATCAGCTATAATCAGCTGTTCTAAACTTCCTCACTGGAAGTCACGAAAAAGCGGCTCTGAAGAAGGCGATACTGCCGAAACGTCAGCTAGCGTTGTATTGTATTATGTTTTTCTATGGAAGTAAATGTATGCTGTTTAAAAACCTCGCGATTGCTGAACAAGAAAACGACACATTCATANATTGAAGCGTTTGGCCTAGTAGGTTGTATATCAGTGTTCCCTTCCAGGCTCTGAAGAAGGCGATACTGCCGAAAGGCAGCTAGCGTTGTATTGTATTATGTTTTTCTATGGAAGTAAATGTATGCTGTTTAAAAACCTCGCGATTGCTGAACAAGAAAACGACACATTCATATTACTATTATCATTATTACAACTATTATTATTATTATTACTATTATTATTGCTACTGTTATTACTACCTCAACTATCCATTAATCTTATTACTACCTTAGACTAGTACTTTTACCACTACTTTGCTATTGTTGCTACTATTTACTATAAACTTTGCACCATCTTTTTTTACTTTTTTAATATTTTATGTGACCCGTCTTCAAGTCTACTGTGCGGATCTCACCACTTCTCACATTCGATTTGTTCCATCACATCCATTATACACGAAGACCTTCCAACTTTTACGTGTGGGTTGGGTTGCTGCTTGAGTAGTTTCATTTCATTTATTCATTTAAATGTCGTAGAATGATGGTCGAGTCGATTCTCCTTGGAGTTCTGAGATAACCAGGCTGGAGCGGACCCGTTGCACTGCAGACTGACTTTTTCCCGCACAAGTCTGGTACCAATTTCCCGACCCAGGAGTGATGAGGGGCTTTGTTGGTGGGAGTGAAGTTTCCCTAGTACCATGCTCGTGATGACCGACATCACTCCCAGTGTGTTACTAGCCCCCACCGCCCTACTTCACTACACTTTACACTTGAATTACACTAATAAACCATCCTTAAATTTAAGAAATAATGGTAAAAATCAAACCAGCCTTCTCTCCACGTTGAAGAAACACAACTACAAAGAATGTTAGGAAGAGAAACAGTCCAATAACTACAAATCGACCCACTCTGGAATCGATATCGTCTTCCAACATTACTTTAACACCATTACAGAAAGGAAAGAGTAATGATACTATGAATTCTGATCCACTGGGTTACATACCTTAAACGAAAACACCACTGCAATTCCAGGAATCTTCTTCGCAATGACATAACGAACTGTTAGAATCCCAGAATAGTAGAAAATCTACTGAAATTTGCTAAAGTCATGGACCACACCAGAAAGTAAAGCAGTGAAAACAAAAGCCATCATACATAGAAAATTACTAACAAGCTTATGATTATAAGTACACCCTCCCAACGGTTTACCGCCTCATCGAGACTGCGAGGTGTTCCTGTGTGCTAGGCTGCGATGTACAGCGGGAGGATTCATGCCTTCGGGAAGGGTTTCCCAACTCAGAAGGAGTCCGGCTTTTTCATCAGGAAGCCCACCTAGGAGTAAACCGAAACCAGGATCCGCCATCGTCCTGGTGTCAAACTAGTCGCGTGGTGGCAAATCTCCCTCTGATCCACAAGGGCGGCGGTTGCTGCTGATGGTGACGACCTGGGGCAGACTTTGGCTAGGCTGACCTCAGGATTCCAGGGAACCACAATGGCAAAACAAGCAACTTTCCGGAGAATGGAGACCAATTTGGGATCCGCACAACCAGTGAGTACGGGCCATTCAACCAAGTAAGAACAAGTACACACGACATCGGTCGCATGAAAACTCGTCCACATCGAGGTTAGCTAATTCTGCAGCTATCTTCATGTCGGGCAGTCTGCGTTTCTATGTTCCGCTCGTTTTACTGCCGTTATTGGAACTTTCTGTTTAGATATGGCAGTGGATTGTTCACTTATACCTAATTTACTGTCTTATGTTTTCCCGTAAGAAGTTGTTTTACCCGTTTTGATTGCACTAAAGGCACATTTCTTTAAGAGTCTTGTTAGGTCTGAGATTTCGTTTCTTTCTAATCGCCTTCAAAGATCGACCAATGCTGCTTTCATTGCTCTAGTCCATGCTGTAAGTAGTACATTCCCATATTCGATTTCAGGAAATGTTACGAACACTGTCGGCTGTTATAGGAGTTAAATGTCGTGGTGTAGCAACGGCTAATAAAACAGGTGTACTTCATGTACTATGAGTTTTCCTAGGGACGCGTATAGTGCAGTGGTAGGGGTGCCCTGCAACACATACAGGATCGATCCCGGCGCCCCTGCTCACCAAACCATCCCTCCCTATTGAGTTGGCATATTGGTACCAGCCTTGTCTGAGAGGATAGCACCACTGACTCGATATATCGCTAGGCCACAGCGAGTCGTTGTATAAGCTAGATATGCACTCAATCACCTCTACGATGACACGATTGGAGCCGAATGCTTGGCACATCCCTCAGGGATTAATCAACGCTGAGAGCTTTATCCTTAGCTTTTGTTGTTTTTTTTCAGCTGTAACACTATCGTCACCGAGATTAGAACTGGATAGCGCACTGTTCGATGATATTCGGAGCCGTTTGAAGCAGGATGGTCGAACAGTTGAGAAAATACTTGTAACTTTACGGCAGAAAAATGGAACAAAGAGGAACTATTTGATGAACAAAAATGTTTCCACGTCATACGATTGCGCAAAACGTAGGTGTACGCTATATATTTTAGTTATTTTTAGCTTAATTTAATGAGATGTGTCATTTAGACTTGAATATGATGGTAGCTAGAAGAGCAATTCTCGCTCGGGTCTCGTATCCAAAGGAAGAGGCCAGACTAGAGAGCATGAATGAGCCCTTGCGGGACAAATGTGATTTTGAACTGATCGATTTCCAAACAGAGAATTATGCTCAGGATGTTAATCAGGTTAGCATCGTTTCAGCAAAGGTTTCTTTCCTTTTTGGTGGAAGAGATCCCTTTATCTTCGGGTTCTTAATCGTCATATGTTTAGGCTTATTGGAGGTCGTGCAGTATAGTGTTAGCTGTAACCCTTCTTAGAGGTCTTAAGGAAAGTATAACTATCTCTAGTCTTCATAGCAAGTGTCAGTCATTTATGGATATAAGTATTACTTATGTTTTCTGTTTTCATTTGTGTATTTGCCATTTTATTGACATGCTTGACCCTGTATACTACTTTTAGTCCCGAAAAGTTATTTCGCGGTTGACTTAACTGGTTTGGGAAGCCCATTATCTGAGGTGAGGGACATTCCGCACGGGTTTCCCCTTTGTATGGGACTTTTCTCCAATTTTGTTCCTTTAGAATGATTTGAAAGACCTGTCTTCAATTGCTCGCAGTGAAATTGTTTCTAAGGGCATACCATTTGAAACGGTAACATTACCTTCCGAGGTCGCAATGGACTACGGATTTGATTCATCGTTAGTTTCTTTTATTTCTATTCGTGTCTTTAACTTATCGGTGTTAAGAACATGTTCTTATGAAGCAGAAGGGATTTTTGCCGTAGGACTAGTAGTTGCAGAATGTTGTATCTTTTGTTACTTAAGACTTTACGTATTATTCTCATTTTTTACCCCACTATGTTTCTCTTCACTTTGATGTTTAACAAGAGTATCAGTCTCCTAAAGGGCGCGTGTAGCGCAATGGTTGGAGTCGTCCTGTAATACAAATGCGATCGATCCCCGCGCTCATGGCCTACCAAGCCCTCCATTCTTCCGGAGTCAGCAAATTGGTACCGTACTTGTCTAGCGGGATGGCAGCACTAGTTCGACACATCAGTTGGCCACCACGAGTCATTGTAAAGGCTAGATGTGCATTCATTTACCTCCAACGGTGCTTAATGGAGCCGAATGAATGGCGCATTCCAGGGATTGATCAACGCCGAGAGCTTTTTAGAGCTTTCATCTGACTCCCACAAAAGGAACTTATATTTGCTATGGTGTAAATCTAAAAGTAGTGTCTTTCTGGAATCTATCATTTGCTCTCTTTGGGTTACTTATAGCATTTCCTTTAAAATTCTGCCTCACTTCAACGTTTCACTTTTGTAGTACATGCAAAGAAATAGACTAGTAACTGAGAACACTTGAAATTCCTTCACTTTTTTTTTTTTTAGCTTTCTTAATCTTTTATATACGGCACCTCACCCCACTTTAATGATTCTCCGCTTCCTTATGGCCGACAGTTCCTGGATGTTGAACTGTGGTGTTCAATAGAGGAGTTCACCCCACAGCACTCCAACAGTCTCTCACTGCCAGGAGGAATCAATATCGCCCTAACAACAACGTAGTACCTAACTTGCGATGGTTGCTCCCTTGTATTAAAGCTATAATATAGCTCTCGAGACTTCAAGCAAAAAACACCTTGACCAGCAAACAAATCTTCAACCAGTTCGAAATTGTCTTTGGGGCGCGTACGATTCTTCATTATTTCTGAAGAGTAGACCATTCAATTATGTAAGATAATGGTGAGGAAACTTCCTTTTTCAGTGTGAAATTATGTCGTTTGGGTGATTTCGTTTCCGAAATTGATGGTCCTGTAATTTCTCGATCAGATCAAATCGGCCTATTCAACGTCGTTAAGGTGAAGTTCATAACAGCTCATTCTGCTACATACTTTGCTTGAAGTTTCTCGTTTTTAAAGCTCTTTTTCGCGGGAAAATATCACTTCTACAGTGTGTAGCAACTTCTAGCAGAACGAGTGCTGTTTGATAGTTCATAAAGTAATTCGGTTATCTTCAGGCGATTTCAAAAGGAGATTTCACCCGTGTAGGAGGAGTTTCGCTACCCTCGGACTTTAAGGCATCGTCATTCTCATGGGAGACGATAGTTATAAATGCTGAAGACGTATGTAACTCGCATGCTTTGAGTACCTAGTCCATAGTTGATGTCATTTCATATCTTTGCAGAAATTGACATGAGACGTGTAAGTAAGCAGTGCGAAACGCTTTAAATGACTTATCACTGTGATCGATCCGTCTTGACTTCTCAATGAATATTGTCGAAGTACTGCGTTGTAAGCCAGTGCTGATGTGGTACAGAAGCGCTAGTGAAGGACGAAAACCATCCTGTGTCCTTTATTTAGCTACTGATTCTTAAATTACGAGGTTGCAGTTGCAGAAGGAAGAAAACGAATGGGTGATTAATTCACTTGTAAGACGAAAGGAAAGCCCACAGAGACGCTGCGTTGTACTTTGGTCTAAAAAATAGTGGTTTCCAACAGAGATTTTATTGTGAATATTCGCATCACGGATTGATGTCCCTGCAAGTCTAGGAATCGCGTGAAAATAGCTTCTTTCTTGACAATCACATCACGTCAGTTTAACCGAGTAGGTGAACGTATTTGCAAACTTTGACATCATATCCACAAAGATGTAAAGGTTTAATCCTTAGGTGTGCCGTCACAATGATTATGCAGTAATGCTTAAGCGGATTAGTGGGTTTTGGGATATATAACCCTTTACACCATTAGTCAGCAAATGATCCAACCTAGTATCAGTGAATTTTCCATTCCGTCACTGGTGGAGGTTAAAAGGGCATAAACAAAATCATTTCTCTTATACGAATCTTTTTGATTCGTTGCGTTTGAAGAGATATATCTACAGATGACTATGGGGTCCATGTCGTGTCTGAGGATTACTCTCTTCTGGATTCTAGAGACATTCGTGGAGTACTTTCTTAGCCTAGGTGACAACTCAGGGGAATGGATTTTCGCGCTATGTCGTTGGACGAAGTGGTAAACCATCAATGTGAGGTGCAAAGAAATGTACTCTTGTGGCAAACCTGTGGAATGAGGTTACCCTAAACAAATAGTAACATTTATTGCAAAATTCCTGTATAACAGATAGTTTATAATTATTAGTTATAAAAGATGAGAATGATATTCACATGTCGTCATCACTTTCACCTCCTCTCTTCGGAATCATGTGCTTCTTTTCGCCCTCAAAATCGCGACTCATGTAGGAGATTCGTGTCCGTGCAAATCTCCTAAAGAGGATTCTTAGGTTACAAGCACTTTGGTATAACGTTCTTTAGCTGACTTGACGTACTTTATACATCGTTTGCTTAGGTTTTTCAGGACGCAGTAGCAAAGAAGCGCAGTTCCTGCAGAGATTATTCCAATAAAGACCGGAATCACTACATTGCGATGGTACGGTGCTTCCTGAAAAATGTTTAATAGTAAATCAGTGGTCAGCTAGGTCGGTATGAACTTTGTAAAAAAGCACGCCTAGACAACATACCATCCAATCATCGAAGCCCCGTCTTACGTTCTGATACTTGGAACGGAGATAGCTGATGTCCTTTTCCAATGAATCGTGCAGCCCCACATGAGAAGAGTCATTCTTGTGGGCAAGATGGGTACTGATTTCAAAGTAAGGTTAGTATATTTACTCAAATTGGTAAGAACTCATTTTATTTCTATAGTGAAAATAGTTTTACATATTTACAATGTGGAATTGCCCTGAGGGCTAAATTTAATAGAAGATGACGTCTCCTTGAGAATTCGAATCGTAGTGGGGAAAAGTCGTTACTACTACTTCCAAAGCGTTAAGAGCTTACCCGTTGCTTATGATAACCTCCGCTTTCTTAGAAACATGGGTCGCGGAGTAAGTAGTGGCCGGTTTAGTTGTGGTTGGAGAGCCTTCAACTATCGCAAATATCAAGAAAGTAGAGAGTAGGAACATCGTCTGTAAGTAAACTTATTAGATAGTACGGGAAATCTAAGAAGGTCCAGAAACGTTACAAGATGGTAATATCCGAAAAAAAACTTCAACACACGTATGTTAGCCACATACCAGTAAGATGTCAAACGACTGAGAAAAGAATGGCTAGCGTGATGAGAAATTGATGGTTGGACAGATTTTCCCGCATTTTCCAATCTTTTGACCTGTCTTGGTCTACCGCAATCCATAGTTGTTTTGGTATTCCTATATCTACTAAGTCACTCATGTCATTCTACAAAGTATTTAAAGGCACAGTTCATTTGTAATCACTAAAGTAGCACATTTCTAGAAAGTACTATCCCGATTTTGCTGTGACTATCTAGTGAGATTATGTTCTTGAAATCAGATCAGATGAACAATTTATGAGAAACTTTGGTGGTTTACACGCAGCAACAACCAATCAATAAATAGTACTAGTAATACATTATGTACAAATAGATATGGTAACTGAGAAATCTTGTTTCGTTTCTTTTATGGCAGTTCATGAGATCACGGCTATTTGCCTCCACTTAAAAATTTATTCAGAAATCCTTGAGCGAGTTCGCCTCCGACGAGTTTGTTGATTTGACCGAGAATGACCAGAGGATTCTGAAAGGGTATAAAGATTGGTAAAAAACTGGAACAACTACCGTTTAGGATAGAATTGTATTTCTCGAGAGGATCATTCTGAAAAAAGGTTGCGATGTACAACAGAGAGGTCCATCGCCACAGGAAGGTCTTCCTAGCTGAGAAGGGGTACGGCGTTTCCATTAGGAAGAATAGCTAAGAGTAAACCAGTACCAGGATCCACCACCGTCCTAGTATCAAACTAGTCGAATGGTGTCAAATCTCCGCCTGATCCACGACAGCCTGCGGTGGTGACGACTTGGTGCAGACTTTGGCTAGGTTCACTTCGGGACTCTAGGGAACCACAACGGCTAAATCAGCAAAACTCCGAAAAAGTGGAAATTATGCTGGGGCACGCACATCCAATGAATACGGGCCATCCAAGTATCCAAGTAATTAGGCTTCAATAGAAGCCTTTAGGTGTGCTTAGTATGGAAGTTGCCACTAATGGTTATGTGACAGCAAAAATCGATGGATACATAGCAATCGGTCAGATTTAGTAGTGCGAAAAGACGGTTTTTTCTTATCATCTACTTTTTAGTGCAGACATGGGCAAATGTCATGATAAATCATCGCTAGATTCTATATTTAAAGCATCTGCGAATGGCTAAAATTATGATGGTCTGTGCTGATGAAATGCTGCATAGTGGAACCCATCAATGGGCAGTTAGAAAATGTACACATCGTCGTGGAAAAGTAATAAGTATTACAGATGGTACCTGATCGAGTAATCCGGTCATTTCCTCACATCGTTTCATTGCCCTTTGCATTTGCGCTCCGATTTGTAGCGATTCCATGATGTCACAGTTAGAGATGGCCCGTCGCAAAGCACCACACTGTTGACGCTCGGCGCCACGACGACACGTCTCCTGGCTGAAGTCGACGACGTTAGACAAGCTACCAGTGGATAGGTTCATAGGTTCGGGAACACACACACACACACACACACACACACACAACACAACACAACACAACACAACACAACACAACACAACACAACACAACAC